TTTCAAGGGTATTTCGATCATTTTATATTTAAGGAAATGTTTTTTATATTTTTTTTATTGTGCACCCTATTTTTTAGTATACATGTCTGACATTTCATTAAGATTTGATTTCTAAAAAAGAGATTAAAATTCAGATAGTGATATGAATTTTGAACCACCCGATGACGATATGATGGCTGAGAAATGTAGCTTATACTATTCATTATAGCTAGTAGCTTAGGAAATTGTTTGACATATATATATATCTATATATATATATATATATATATCCTATAGTGAGCCCATGGGCTCATGGAACAGTGTAACCCCAACGGTTCAGATTGAATCTGGGCCGATCTGACAGTCAGGACTGTATATCGGTAATATAATTTTAACATTTTTATATAAATCCAAATAGCATGAAATTTGGAACATAAACTCTTCTCATCAAGGTGCACCTAATAAAAATATTAAAAACATAATTCACAAAAAAAAAATTGACCAAAATTCCCCCAAAACTTTTTAGGGGTATTTTGATCAATTTAATTTATGCGAATTATTTTTTTGATATTTTTATTAGATTCGATTATTCTTGAAGAGAAAACGCTCCAAATTTCAAGTAATTTGGATTTGTAGAAAAAAATTAAAGTTCAATTACGAAATACAATTGTGATCATTAGATCGGTCCAGATTCAATCTGGGCCGTTGGGCTTGCATTGTTCCATGAGCCCATGGGTTGACAAAAGCTTTTTCCATATATATATATATATGGGAGTAACTTTTATATGCTGAAGGGCAGATGCAGTACTATACGGCTAGTGGATCTAACGGTTACAATCAATTTTCATATTTGAACTTCAATGTTTTTATATAAAATTTCAAATCACCTTAAAGTGCAAAATATAAAGAAATAGTTCACAAAAAATAAATTAACTAAAATGCCCTTAAACATTTTAGGAGTATTTTGGTTAACTTATGTTTTATAAAGTACTTTTTTTTTTTAAATAGGAGCACCTATTTTTTAAGGATGGACACTCCAAATTTGAAGTAATTTGTATTCAAAGAAAATCTAAAACTCAAATATGAAACACAATTGTGGCCATCTGATCGGCCCATATTGAATCTGGGTGATTGGGTGTATATTATTGTATCGGCACTTGATTGGAGGGTAATAACGCATCAAATCATTTTATTGGAGGATGATGACCCATGCGACCATACATGGTCATATTAATCATAATAGGAATTTACGCATTTGAGTTTGGCAAACAACAGAAGAAACCAAATGAAAGATGCAAATCTTAATAACCATTTGCGTTACCTTTCATGTGAAAGTAAAAATCATAAATCATACACAAGAGATATATAGAATAAACATTAATTACACGCAAGAGGGTGATAGGACAAACCTATAGATCCCACCCCTAATGGAGATCACCACCCTTAGCTGATTATTTGGTGGGATGCTTCCATCTTGCCTTCCTGTGATCATTGTTCGATTTAATTCAGTTCTCTGAAGTCTCTCATCAATGACTGTCGAAAGCGTGAAGAAAATGAATGTAACAGTACCCATGACTATGCTACCTGTGTTAACAAAGAAATACATAAATTAAATACCATAGAACAAAGCAAATCAACACTATGTATACCAATATGATAATACACAATTGATAATTCATGATGCTTCGAAGAAACCTTCGTGTATATCAATCACATATTAAGATCTAATCCAAGGTACTCAATCTGTCTCTACGGTAACAGTACGTCACTGGCTTCAACCTCTACATAAAGTTCTTGGTAGCCATTTGACATTTTTCTACACTGTTACACCATGAATCCATGATAACATCCAAATTTATGATAAGTCATTCCTTTTACAAGCATATGAAGCAAATTAAGATTAATTGAAATTTCTTTGGTGGAAATTTACAAAAGTTGCTAAAAATTTTAGGCCATATCTCTAAAACCCATAAGTGAAGCTACTTGTTGAAAATTGACTCTAGGTTTTGTGAGCATAGTGCAAAGTGACTTGAAGAGAAGTAGGATACAACAAAATCCATGAAACCAACCTCTCCATATATGTCACCTTAATTTGTTCTCCCCAAAGTTCAATGACTTATTTTTAGGGCTATAAATGAAAGACTAAGGACCAACATATTCATATGCCATGCGCCACAAATATAACATCTAAGGAAGCAGGAATAGGAACCTAAAGATCTTATTGAGAACAATTCTCCACTTTCACCAGGAATCAATACTTAAGGCTCATCACAAAAGCCAATTATTTTTTTTAAACTCCATCTAAAAGCATATGCCCATGGTCAAGTTCCTAGAATGAACCTAAGCAAGCACATGGAAAGTTTCCAAAAGATAAGAAGCCTTCAATGGAAAAAACATAAATTACATTTTCACCCATGTACATATATGGTAAGAGATGCTCAAGAAGAAAGAAGAAACCCTTAATCGGACTAGTGGAAACTAAATTGCTCATATATAACAAGTGTTATAAAACCAAGAGATCCGGATTGGGGAATCGTTGATCCGGACCAGGAGTTGACCAGGACCGAACTGTCCTGGCCTGGTCCCCCTTTAAAATCCCAATTTTCATTTTTTTTTTTTCTTTTTCCGGTTCCGCTCCTAAAATCCCCTTTTTCAGTTTTAAATTTTTAAGCTTGTTTGATGTTCTTAGCTCCCCTAAATGCCGACCCATAAATTTATGTTTTTTCTTTTTAAAATTTTAATATTTTTATAGATCGTTGATTCAGACTGATCCAAATCACCTATCCAGCAATACGATACAAACATGTGGGGTGCATGATCCACCCCACCTATCCGGATTTTGGAAAACTGTCCAAGCATGACAAAGAACCATATTTTCTCAATTCTTTATGGAAAACATCTACTAAATCTATTTCTCTAGAATTGAAATTAAAAAAATATATATATATATCAAAAATAAACTACCTGTCCCAGCCACACTCGGCCGGTTTTCATGTGTTTGGTTTGCGACTCAGCAGCAAGCCCAGTCCGTGTGCTCCAGGCAGTCGTAGTTCAGAGACTCTGGAGTTTTCACTAACTGATCAAACTTCAGCGTTCCCTATTTCACCATTTAAATGCCTTGGGATTCATGTTTTCATTTGCAATTCAAAGGTTGGGAAGATGTGATATTTATTTACCAGAAAAGATGAAGGCTAATGGATGGGACAACCGATCACATGTAGGAGGCGAAGAATGTACAGTTAATGCCTTCTCAGAAATGGAGATTGGTGTAAAAAGAGTGTAGTGTTATGCGTCCTCAGAAATCGCACGGACGAGAACAACAGATCAAAACACAAAGAGAGCTATAGTGGTGAAGAACAGAGAGAATACAAACAGCTACAGGAAGAGGGGTCAAAACAGAGAGAGAGAGCTACAGTAGTGAGAAACAGAGAGAATACAAACAGCGAGAGGAAGAGAGCTCAAAACAGAGAGAGAGAGAGCTATAGTGGTGAAAAACAGAGAGAATACAAAGAGCTAGAGAGCTATAGTGGTGAAAAACAGAGAGAATACAAAGAGCTAGAGAGCTATAGTGGCGAAAAACAGAGAGAGAATACAAAGAGCTAGAGAGCTATAGTGGTGAAAAACAGAGAGAATACAAAGAGCTAGAGAGCTATAGTGGTGAAAAACAGAGAGAATACAAAGAGCTAGAGAGCTACAGTGGTGAAAAACAGAGAGAATACAAAGAGCTAGAGAGCCATAGTGGTGAAAGACAGTGAGAACACAAAGAGCTAGAGAGCTATAGTGGTGAAAAACAGAGAGAATACAAAGAGTTAGAGAGCTACAGTGGTGAAAAACAGAGAGAATACAAAGAGCTAGAGAGCCATAGTGGTGAAAGACAGTGAGAACACAAAGAGCTAGAGAGCTATAGTGGTGAAAACAGAGAGAATACAAAGAGCTAGAGAGCTATAGTGGTGAAAAACAGAGAGAATACAAAGAGCTAGAGGAGGGGTATTGTGAACAGCTACAGAGAGAACCTCCAGCCCTAAGGAAAAGGTTTATATAGAACTAAGGTTAAACAATCAGCTCACGTAAAAAATTACAGGGGTTGTTTTGATGTCTAAATATGCTCAAATTCATCATCATCTCATCTGCACCAACATATATGAAAAAAAAAATAGATTTTTAAGTCTTTTAAATAAAGGAAAAGCTTATATAGAGCCAAGGCTCTAAACAATTAAATTTAAGCCTACATCAAAAATTTTACTAGAAAGGGCTGTTTTGATGCCCAAATATCTTTAAATCGATCATCTTGACATCGATATGCATGGACAAAAGAAAAAAATAGATTTCAAAGTTTGAAAATAGTGTATTTTGTGACATATTTTTGGACCGTCAATTTTCAAGTTTTCATACATCTATCGATCCATACTATTTTTTAAGGTTTAAACTTTATAAATAAATATAAAAATATATTTTAAAGCTATCACAAAGATTTTTAATAGTAAAACCATATTTTTCGACACCATTTGAAAGTAGGCTCTAATTTGATTGTTTAGAGCCTAGGCTCTATACAAACCACGCCCTTTAAATAATACGTCTTACATTTTTTAACTTCAATTTTCAAGATTTTTAAGTTTTCATAGATCCTATTTGAACTACACTATTTTTTAAGCTTAAACTTTATAGTTAAAGATGAAAAATATATTTTAATGCTATCACAACCATTTTCAGTATTGAAACCACATTTCTCGATAGTATTTGATGGTGAGCTTTACTTTGATTGTTTAGAGCCTCGGCTCTATACAAACCACAGCCTTTTAACTTCTCAACATTTTGGCATCCAAAAATGTACATAGTGAACACTTAATTTTTAGGATGAAAGGGATAGTCTAGATGATTTGTTATAATATATACTATTTTTAGAATTTAAAATTTTAATTTTTTGCATAACTGTAACGTTTAAGGTTAGATGATCAATTTACAAGTATTTCAACAAGTAATTTTTAATGAATTATGGGGTGAGGTTTTATTTTGTTTTCATAAAACCTAGGTAGAAACTTCATCCATTTGTAATAAATGTACATGCGGACCAAATGAGAAGACGGTGGTTGCACATACAAACAACATTGGTGGTAGAAAACCACTACTGGTCGGTGAACCAGATCCATATTGGTGATTTAGACTGATTTTCGAGCGTGATTCTACAAATGATAATCAACCTTAAAAAAGTTAAAATAATTTTAATTTCTCAAAAAGTGCTTGATTCTTTGACAAACTTACCGTATTCCCTGGCTAGGTCAAACTACTCTACGGGAATCAAACACATTCCTAGTTCCCAAGGAAAACCAGATTAGTCTCCACCAATTCTGGATCTAAATTGGTGATTCCCGATCCAAATCAATCATCTCGGCCTTGATGTTATGGCCGTGAAAAAAATTAGGATTTCAAGCTCTAAATTAGTGTATATCGTATTACATTATTTAGACCATCTATTTTTCCATGAAAATCTACATCATTTTTCAAACTTTAAATTTTATCGTTAGTGTTGGAAATTGATTTTAGAGTCATCATAATAATTTTCAGTGCCACGTGTACTTTCAAGATGAGGATTTGAGGTGAGGCTTTATTTTATGTTTATAAAACCTCAACCTTATATGAACTTCCTCTCAATAAAAAATGCCTTTTGTGCTCAATTTTCGCCAGGTTTTGGTGTGTACTACCTTTTCCGTTGTACAATGCGAATGACCGCAATTTTTCGTAAATTTTCTTTAGAATAAAAAGTTTGTTGTCTTTGCACTCTTGGCATAAAAGAATGTTTGCCATTTGAATGAGGCGCATTTAGGTCATTCTGCTTTTCGTCACAATCTTGGCCCTAAAAATAGTTTTCAAGTTAGCAGTAGCAATGGCCAATGGGCAAGATAGTTTTATCTTCTTCTTTTTTGATAGGTCAATAACTTTTATTGATAGGTGTTGTAAAAGCTTCAAATTACAAAGTTGGAATCAAAACATCATAAACATATAAGGAGGATAGAGCTCTCTCACATGTTCGGTAAGTCTATCAACCACATCATTAGCCTCTCAGTAGACATGGTAAAATGGTAAAATGAGATAATTTAAAACAGTACTAACACATATATTATAGATTTTAAGCCAAAAAACAAAAAGGAACGAAGGAACCTTTTGATCTTGCTTGCACCAATTAATTATGTTAAGGGACTCTCCTTCAATCATGATAAAATCCACAATACTTTTGCTAACAATAATTTCCAAACCTTGCAATGGCGAGCTAATTCAGCAGAATTAGTCGTAACAGTCTCGCAAGAACCAACATATGAAAATACAATATACCCTTCATAATTTTTTAAAATACCTCCTATTTTGGTCAATCATGGGTTCCCAAAAGAGCTCTCATCAATGTGAACATAGCTGAAAGCTAGGCTTTTAAAGTTAACAAAGATGTTGGTCCTAGAGATTCCTGTTGCGTGAATGTGGCCATTAAAGGCTTTATGAGTGCTTGTAAATTAATATTATATAGTGGAACATGAACTCAGTGGGAGTGTGGTCTCTTGTGGATCATACTAAGCAAACGATGTTTGTTGATACAGGATTGTGCTTGACGTGATAGGTCAGTCTAGTTGGACAAAACCAATGTTACTTAGGCTAAGAGAAATAAATCAATGAGGGTTATATTGGTTATCCCTTGATGAGATCGGAATATACCCAAATGAGTAAGCCAAGGAATTGTGTGACCTTTGTATGTGATGGTGCCCTGCAGAAACAGAGCCAAAGCCTCATCATTTGTACCATCACACGGTATGCACATTGATAGCCATTTTCGAGAAAGCGTACCACCTTTCAGAGTGAAGCGTGAGCACGTGCGAGAGAAACCCCCTGTGTACCATCGAGCTATAGATTGCATCAAAACAGGATGTCCTTGGTTTCATCTGCAAGGGGGACCTGAAATCTATATACTGGGACTGCGACCCCCTATCCATTGACTAGATTTTGGTGACTCACTAATTATCCCATGCATGGACTGTGGGTCATGGGTAACGCTAAGTCGGTTTGAGAAAGCCTGTGTGGTTCGTAGTTCGCGATTAGACATGGAGTGCCTTGATGGATATTTATTCTTAGACCATATGGATCATTTTCTCATCAAAGTATTTTATTTTGTTTATTTTAATTATATTTGATTTTTAGAGTTATTATTTAAAATTTTCTAAATCTCTGATATTTTATTTATCAAATTTGGATTTATAAAACTAGATATATTGATTTTATAATAATTTAAATATTCAAATAATAATTTTATGTATTTTTTAAAATATAAAAATAATTTAAATTACATGGGAGGCCCAATATGTCATTTGTGCCTACCATTGCATATTGGGTAGGGCCCATTATGTACCCAAATAGGTAGCACGCACCACTTAGAAAAACCTTTTGTTTTGTGGAGATCAAGCTCTAAAGCTTGAGAGATAAGTTTATATTGTTTTAAATAACTTGAGTCTTGATGAAATTTTTGAATGATATTTTGGTATGTATGAGAAGGCTTATGAATAAAATAACAAAGGATAATATTGTGATATATTAATTTCTTATTTGAATTAATTGATGGGAAAATGATTTATGAAGTGGGGGATAATAGTCTAGCATCTTCTATAGGATGTTGATGGCCCATCTATGTAATGAAAAACTTATATCTCTCACCCTCCAAGTCACCTAAGATCAATAGTGTATATTCAATCTCACATGAGTAGCAAGCCAAGAAAAGCCTTAAAAAACCCTAATCTTGTCCAAACACTATAAAAAGGGATTGACCCTTACCCAAATCTCTACACATTATCTCTTACACTATGTACTTTCTATCTCTCTCTCTCCCTCTCTCTCTCTCTCTCTCTTCGACAAACTAGGGGACACGCCCCACTTAGAATTTCCTTTTAAGAAAGTTTCTCTCTCTTGAAAGGCCAAAGGGAGCACGCCCCACTCTCTCACATCTCATGGTGGTTCTCTCTCTATTATCTCATGGTGGTTCTCTCTACTTTCTCATGATGTATCTCATGATCTCTCATCTCTCTTTGCGGTTTAGATTATAGGGTTGTGGTAGAAAAGAGAAGCATATCTCTCAAAGTAGGTTGCTAAGGGGGTTCATCTAAGGGTTTGAGTTTAGTCATCAAGGGGTTCATGTTCTATTGGTGTGGCTTGTACGAACTTGTTTTCTCGGTTAAGATTGAATATTGACCATTAGATTCCACGCCATCAGAGGAAGGTGACTCAATGTAGGGTGTAAGATGCCCGGTTGAGATATTCCATGACCCTATATTTTGTTTTTTCATATTTATTTATTAAATGTTTTATTCCCAAACATAGGTTATGTCTTTTTTTTGTTAATGAGAAATGTGTTTTTCAAGAGCTTCAAGTTTTTTAGATCATATTGTATTATTTTATTTGAAGTTATTATATTATAAAAAGACTACTTGTAAGTGATCTAGGCCATGAAGAAAAGAAAACGAATAGGAAAATAAAATAAAAATTATATACTCTGACTAGATCACACGAGTCTTTTCAACTCCTTTGCCTTCATTGGTAATTGAGTACCAATCCCAAAGAGTTCGTAGGATTCTGTCTTTGATGTTTCCCAGATCCAAAGACACATCCTCAAAAGTTCTCCTATTGCATTCAAGCTAAATCTGTTAAGAAATAGCTCCTCTAAAGATCTTCCATATGAGAACACCCTTACATGGCAATCCTGTTAGATTCAAGAGGATAACAACATGGATGAGATTCAAGAGGGCGAGGGCGAGGGCGAGGGCGAGGGCAAGGGCGAGGCCAAGTCGATTCGGCCGAGTTAGAAAACTATGGTTTTATCAAGTAGAGTTGTGCCCCTAGTTTTGGGGTAGTGCCAAATGGCTCCACCGAGCGATCTGAAATAAGAATATCGGTGGAACCTTAGACAGCCCGTTTCTTCACTCTCAAATAAAAATATGGGCGGCAAAACTGAGCTCCGCCCAAAGCACGTCCGAGGTTTCTATCCGGGGACCATCATAAGTGAGAATACGGGCGGTCGGAGGATGGCGTGAAAAGGAAAGGGACCACCACACCACTGCGCTCTTTTATGGTCTCTACATTTTGTTTATTTGTTCCTACTTTTACTACGTTTGTACCACACTGTATCCACACGTCACCTTACAAAAATTTCCATGCCCTGCGGCTCACTCTCATCGTCCTAGGTGGGATTTGTAAGGACACCTGACTCCGATTCTTCCATGGGCCTTCATCTTTCCTGGTAAATAAATACCACATCTTTCTAACTCTTCAACTGCAAATAAAAACATGCGCTAGGTATTTAAATGGTGAAATTGCACACGATGAAGTTTCATCCGTCGATGAAAACTCCCGTGACTCTGAACTCTGACTGGCTCTCGCTTCCGAGTGGCGAACCAAACACATGAACACCGGCCGAGTATGGCCGGGACAGGTAGTTTACTACTGATATCTTCCTTTTCTTTTTTAATTTCATCTTTAAAGAAATAGATTTTGCAGATGTTTTCATTAAAGACTTGAGAAAATATGGTTCTTTCTCATGCTTGGATATGTGCGGTCTTTCAAAACCCGGATAGGTGGGGGTATGAGATTGCTGGATCGGTGACTTGGATCAGTCCGGACCAGCGTTCTGTAAAAATATTAAAATTTTTTTAAAAAAAAACAAGGAAGTTTTGGGGTCGGCATTTAGGGGACCTAAGAACATCAAGTTGAAAAAGGGGATTTTCGGAGGGGAATCGGCAAAAAGAAAAAGATGAAAAATGGGATCTCTGAGTTTTAAAACACTTGTTATATATCCATAAAGGGTTTCTTCTTTCTTCTTTGTTGTTCAGTATCTCTTACAATTGATGTAACATGGATGAAAATGTGGTTTATGTTTCTGCCATTGGAGGTTTCTTATCTTTTGGAAACTTTACATGTGCTCTCTTAGGGTGAATCTGGGAACTAGACCATGCGCAAATGCTTTTAGATGGATTTAAAAAAATTAATTGGCTTTTGTGAGCCTTATGTCTTCATTACTGGTGACAGTGGAGAATTGTTCTTAATAAGATATTTAGGCTCCTATTCCTGCTACCTTTATTGTTATATTTATGGCACATGGAATAGGAATGGATTGTTCCTTAACCTTTTATTTGCAGCCCTAGAAATAAATCACTGTACTTTGCGGAAAACAAATTAAGGTGACATATATGGAGAGGTTGGTTTCATGGGTTTTATTGTAGCCTACTTCTCTTCAAGTCACATGGCATTATGCTCACAAAACCTAGTGTTAATTTTAGTCAAGTAGCTTCACTTATGGGTTGTAGAGATATGGCCTAAATATTTTAGCAACTTTTTGTAAGCTTCCACCAAATAAAGTTCAATTAATCTTAATTTACTTCATATGCTTGTAAAAGGAGCGACTTATCTTAAATTTGGATGTTATCTTAATATAAAAGTGTAGAAAAATGTTAATGACTACCAAGAACTTTACGTAGAGCTTGAAGTCAGTGAAGTACTGTTATTGAGTGCCGTGGATTAAATCTTAACATGTGATTGATGTGCACGAAGCAAATTGTTTCTTCAAAGTATCATGAATTATCAATTATGTGTTAATGTATTGTTATACAAAGTATTGATTTGCTTAGTTCTATGGTAGTTAATTTATGTATTTCTTTGTTAACACAGGTAGCAGAGTCATGGATCATGTTACATTCATTTTCTTCACAATCTCGAGAGCCATTGATGAGAGACTTCAGAGAGCTGACTTAAATTGGACAACGATCACAGTAAGCCAAGATGTCATGGAAGCATCCCATCAAATAATCAGCAAAGGGTGGCGATCTACATTGATCAGGATGTGGTAGGTGGGGGTGCGATAGACATGTTTGTCCTATTACCCTCGTGTGTAATTTAAGTTTGTTCTATCACTCTCTTGTGTATGATTTATGATTTTTACTTATCATATGAAAGGGTAAAACAAATGGTTATTAAAATTTGCACCTTTCACTGGTTTCCTCTCTTACTTACCAAACTCAAATGCTTAAATTACTATTATGATCATTATGACCATGTATGGTCGCACAGGTCATCACCCTCCAATAAAATGATTTGATGTGTTATCACCCTCCAATCAAGGGCTGATACCGCCCAACGACCCGGATTTAATTTGGGCCGATCGGATAGTGACAATTATGTTTTTTCTTTGAATTTTAGTATTTTCTCTGTAAATACAAATTGCTTCAAATTTGAAGCATCCACTCTTAAAAAATAGGCGCTCCTAAAAATACTATAAAAAAATATTTTATAAAAATAACTTGAGCAAAATACCCCTGAAACTTTCAATGGTATTTTAGTTAATTTATCTTTAGTGAACTATGTCTTTATATTTTTTAATTATACACACTTTAATGAGAAGAGTGACCTTCCAAATTTTAGGTGGTTTGGTTTTGTATAAAAACGATTAGAGTTCGTGGCTGTTAGATCCACTAGGCGTATAGTACTGCATTTTCGCTTGAGCATATAAAAGTTACTCCCACATATATGTAAAAATATATGAGAGAGAGAGAGAGAGAGAGAGAGAGAGAGAGAGAGAGAGAGAGAGAGAGAGAG